TTTAAACCAAAATGATGCATACCATTTGCAGCATAAGAACAAGTAAATAAAGAGTTGGACAGACTAGAATGAATTGGTGTATTGCAGAAAATAAACCATTTGAAATGGGCTGCACCAATGGTGTACATAAAGAAAAAAAAATGACAAAATTCATGTTTGCATGGATTTCTCAACTGGATTAAATAGTTGTCTAGAAACACACAATTACCCATTACCAAGTCTAGAAGAAATTTTTTTTCCAAGTTGTATGGCAGAAAAATATTTTCAAAGCTGAATCTCTCTGAAGCATATTTACAAATTCAGATTGAAAATCAATGTTCTGAATTAACAACCATAAATATGCACAGATGTTTATATAAGTTTAATCAACTTCCTTTTGGCATAAATGTGGCACCAACTATTTTCCAACAAGCCAGGAATACCATGCTGGTGGATTGCGATTGCATGGTGCTGTATCTGGATGATACTTTGATCAAAAGTATGTTGAAAGAACTTGTTGGGCATGTCAAAACAATTATGCAAAAACTAAGAGAATACAGATTCAAGCTTAGTGAAGAAAAATATGAATTGTTTTTGCCAAAAATAAAATACCTAGGTCAAATCATTGATAAAAATGGTAGGAAACCAGATCCATTGAGGGCAAATAGAATTAGAAATATGCCTACACCAACAAACGTAACTACATTACAAGCTTTTTTTAGGACTGGCTAATTATTATTGAATTTATGTACATATTATACATAATTTGACATCTGCACTTAATAATTTACTGAAAAAAAAAAGTGGAATTGGGATTATAAATGTCAAAAAGTGTTTGACAAGATAAAAATAGTCTTACATCTGATTTATCTTTAGTGTACTACCAGCAAAGAGAAATTACAGCCAGATAGAGAAAGTAGCTCTAGCAATAATAGTCGCTATGAAAAAAGTTATAACAGTAACCTTAGAATAGGAAGTTATAATATTCATTGTGAGAATTCAGGATGTGGAATTAGTAAATACCAAATATTTCCAATACCTCAGTGTATGTATCAGTCATAACAAACTTAGTAGAGGAGATAAGGAAAATAATATGGAATAGGCTGTGGTAGAGGTAATTTCATTCAACATAGCAAATTGCTCAAAAAACAAATAATTAGCCTAAAAACTAGTTATATTCTTAAATAGCCTCATCAGATTAAGACTTTAGCTTGGATGTTATGTCATCAAAATTATTCAGAAATAACTAAACTGTCAGCTGTATACAACCTTTTTCTCAGAAATGAAACCTGTAGGTTTTAGTGATAACCATACTTTTTCAAATTTTGTGAACTGCCACTACAGAATCACAAACAAAGAATTGTACCAAATAACAGAAACTATATCATTTGAGGACTTTAAACATCAACAACAACTAAAATGGATAGCACATGTAACTTGAAGAGAAAATAATGACAATCAAGATGTTGCCATTCCACACTAATTCAAACAAAAGGTTAGGAAGGAAACTCCTATCAATACTGGAAAAAGAAATGACAAAGAAACCTATTTTCCTGAAAAAATGTTTTATGAAAAAGACTTTCAACTGAAGTAGCCTGGGCTGCTAAGTCAATAATGCTGAATGTTTCCTTATATGGAAACATCTAATATTACCATCTCAAATAATTATTTTCAATCAACATTTAATAAACTATCACAAGTATAAGCATGAAAAAGTAACAAAAAATAAACTTGTTATCTCCTTATTAAAGATGAAATGTAAACCTATACTATACATAAATTTGCCACAAATTAATTTAATATTTTGTCTATGATATTATTGTTCATAACAACAAATATATTAACTTAAAAATTTAAAGTATAATTATTTATGGGTATTTAAAAAATGTATGTTGAATTTTACTAGCATTGTTGTTAAAATGTAAAACAAAATTAACCAGCTTAATATTTTTACAGTAAATCTTTAAAAAATATACTGCAAAAATATTAAGCTGGTTAATTTTGTTTAGATAATCATATCTTATGGGGGAGGAGATAATTGAAATGCCCCCATCCTACCCTCATAAAACATGATTACCAAAATTTAATTTTCCAAATTCTAGAATTTCCATGAGTGAGTCCAAAATTCCTTCATCCTGGCATTTCTTAATCCATGTTAAAGATTCCCACATTCATACAAACTTTAAGTTTTAAATTCTGAAACTTAAATTCTCCAGACCTTAAAATATAAGTTTCATACATTTTTAGAAGCACCATGTAAATTTTACAAAATAATAGTTAATATTTTTTAATTTTACTACTCCCAAACCTTTCTCGAAATGGTCAAAAAGTGCTGTGTAACAAGTTGTTGTAGTAACTATGATGACCAAAATAAAGTTTGTGCATTTTGTCTTCCCCAAGATCAGAATGAATGAGAACAATTGTTAAAGGCTATACTCCTGACAAACCAAATACTGTTGTTTGTGAAAGGCATTTTCCATTTGATTATGAAACAGTGGTTATTAGAGGAAAAGTATGACCCCAAAATCCACCATCAGTATTTGATCATTATCATTACCTAGTCCTCAAGCAAAAGCAACAATAACAAATAAAACTTCTGCTTCTGTGCAAAATATGCCAAATGATGAGTTGGCACAATTTATAGAAAAAGACAAAATCCTCACTTTTGAAAATTTGTATCAGAATATTGATCAACAGAATTTTGTGTCAACAGTTACATGATATAAATCAAATAATCAGTTGTTCATCCAATCTATAGGTTTTGGAGGTATTCCAATGTTTTTAATTAAAATTTTTTTAAACTTGAGATTTGAATGTTACTATATTGGTATATATATTTTGTCTTGCAAAAAGTCGAATATGAATGTTTCAGCACTGGTCACAATTCATTGAAGCAATTTATTATCTTAGTAACTGAAAAATTTTAAAAGAACATATTAATGTTGTCACCACAAAGGATTGGGACAAAACATTATGATTCTGATATTCTTATCAGGACATTTAAATATTTTGCTACATACCAGTCATTATATAACAGAATTCAGGATGATTTTAATTTACCCAGTGTGAGGATATTATCAAGTTTGGCATCAAAAGTCTCAAAATTAGATGACTTTAATTTTGACATACACTTCATTAACAGAAAATTTTCTTGGTGATATTTTTAGTAAAATTTCTGAAACTCAGAAAAAGTGCATTATACACTTTTTCTGATTTTCAGAAATTTTACTAAAAATATCACCAAGAAAATTTTCTGTTAATGAAGTGTATGTCAAAGTTGCTCTACAATATCATGGAGGAAATTTATTTGGTTTGGCTGAAAATTCTGAGGGATTAGCAAAAACAGTATTGGGCATCATAGTAAAATGTTTAAATGGTGTACCAAAATTTTTACTTAAAATTGCAAAGTTGCAAAATTAGATGTAACTTTTTCATATGTAAAAATTTTTTATATATTCTTGATGCAATCAAACAATTAAATGGTCAAGTAATTGCAATTGTATGTGACAACAACAAGACTCATCAATCTTTTTTCAAATAATTTTACACTGTTTTTAATAAGCCTTGGATAAGCTTGTACTTACTTTTTTGATTATGTCCACCTTTTTAAAAATATTTGGAATAATTGGATCACTGAACCTACTTCTGAATTATTGTTTTATTCTGAATTCAAAAAAGTAACAGCAAAATGCGAAATTATAAAAGGTCTTTTTGAATATGAAAAATCCCACTTTGTTAAGCTGTCAAAACTAACTAATGTAGCAATTTACCAAAAACCTGTTGAGCGACAAAATGTTTCCCATTGTTTAAAAGGTTTTGTGATCAAACTGTAGCTGCCATTAAAACATACACATAATTAAATGGGGAAGATAGAGCAGAAACAGTTAATTTCATTGAAAAAGTCTTAAAATTTTGGAAAATTGTCTGTGTCAAAGAAATATATGCTGATACTAACAAATTAACTCATTATTTTTGCAATATTATCTAAAAATGTTTAATTTATGATGAATAAAGTGAATTTTTGTGCATTTAGTTGTTTTATGGTATTTTTGTTCTTTCTTTGTACATTTGCATTTATGGAAATAAGTCAATAATTCTAAGATGCTTCTTAATATTAAATATAATTATTAATTAACTAATTATTGGACATTACTAACAAGTTCCTTACTAAAAAATGTTCTCAATCATTGTTATTTAGTAGTAATTTAGGCCACCACATGTCTGACACCCAGTTGTGGACCCCAGTTGCATGGTTGCCATGCCTGGTATAAGGATCACCTTGGTTGATAAGTATTTAAGAAAAAGAATAGTACACTTCTGTAAAGGGTAATTTTCTGCATTAGTATCATTTTACAAATATCTGACTGGTTTAAGTTTTATATTTTTTTTATAACTTGCATTGAAAACATTCAGTATGTATGTTTTTAGGACAATTTGAAAAAATTACTTGATGTTTTTAAGAAGGAACAAAGTATATATATATTTTTCATGATGTAAAATTTTGATAAGGTAAAAGGTTTGACTATGATTTCATTAGCCTAGTCATTTTCATTTTGTTAGGAACTCTTGTGTAAGAGATCAATTTAAATTTACATAAAACATATGGAAATCATTTACTATCATCTAGTTAATCACCTCAAAAGCCAATTTGTACAGCCATTCTTTAGTAAATACTAGCATTAATTTAGCTGTTATGAAAATTGCTTGTAATCAACTATTCATAATAGAGAAAATGTGTGTTTGTGTGGGATAAATAGAAGTAATTGTTAATTTATGTCTGAAAGTAAACCAAGCCTAATAAAATTTTAGTAACTGGTGGTAATATATTTAGTGAAAAATTTTGCAAAATGAATAAGTATAGGCTGTGAATTCTATTTATATTTCAAAGTACCTCTTGGATTGACAGATTCAATTTGCTAAAAGCTAATATAAGTTTTGAAATAAAATATGTCTTACAAAATTTAATAGATGACTTGAAAAATTTCTATACAGATAAATTAGATTTCCCATAAAGAACTTACTGCTTCATTGATGTTCAGGAGATCATCTTGACTTTCAAGTTCTGGCAGGTGGCTGAAGCGACGATCAAAGATGCACTTGTGCAGCTGTTTGTCAAGCATTCTGAAGTTTTCATAGCTACGCCGGATATTCCATGTCTTGTCCTTGGACATAACACGCAGCATGAACTGGTACTCGCCCTGCTCGTATTCTTGGTGATGGTAATTCTCTTGATCTTCTTCACACAACTGCAGCTGAAAATCAAAGATAATTCTATATGTAAAATAGAAGAACTAAACCAAAGACTGAAGAGTCCAGAAGAAAAAATATCACAGGATTAGATGACATTTCAGTCATTTGTCTTGCAAAATATACAACAAGTTTATCAAACTATAAAAGAAAAAGTGTATGGAATTTATTGAATTCCAAAAGATTGTACAAAGAAACAATACACACCTAGAAATACATAGATCCTATATCAGTTGTGTTAAAGTATTGATAATTGAAAAACAAACACTGTCAACTTTATTGAGATAAAATAAACAATGTTATTTTAACTTCATTTCAATTTGCCAGCATGCTGATTGGGATTCACTTTGTGACTTTCTTCACAATGCCCTCTGGATTGATATTCTTAACCTTCCTATTGAGAACTTTGCCAATGAAGTTTCTTTTTGGATTAAAGCTGGCATAGATGCTTTTTTACCTTCTCAGATATACCAGGTGAAACCTCAATCTTCTTCATGGATCACTCTGGCCTGTTCAGCTGCAATAGATCAGTATTTCTGGCTATACCAGTGTGACAGTTCCCATCACAATAGATGCCTATATAAGATGTAATAAATGTAAATGTATCCTCAAAGGAGCTAAGTTTTTGTTTGCTGATAGAATAATTCACCATATTGCATCTAACAACTTTGGCTCTATAATAGTGTATTAAATAAGAGTATGTTTTCTATTCCTTTTCTTTTCAATCAATTTGAGGTGTTAACATCTTCTGCTGATAAAGCAGCACTCATACATTCTTTTTAAACTCTACTCATGATTCATCTGGAGAATCCTTGCCTGGCTTTCCACTTAGAACTCTGTTGAGTGATATGTCCATGGTTTCTGCAATCATCTGTAATCTAGATTCCCACAAAGCCTGTGGACCTATGGTATCCTTGTTATTGTTCTTAAGAAATGTGCTCCCGACTGGCTCCTGTTCTCTCTAGACTGTATAATAAGTGCTTCACTGCCTTTTGCTTTCCTGCTTATTGGAAATCCTCATCTGTTATTCCAGTCTTTAAGAACTCAGGTGAACTGTCTACCTTTCCAACTATTGGCCTATTAGTCTTCTACCTCTTTTTGGTAAACTACTAGAAGCCCTAATCAACACTGAATTGATTAAGCATCTCACATCACAGGGCCTTTTTTTCAGACAAGCAATATTGGCTTTTGTTTCTCTAGGTCAACTACTGATATATTAATGATTATTGCGGAAAGAGTCTCTCAAGCTTAAGATAAGAATGGTAAAGCTCAAGCTGTTGCTTTGGACATCTTGAAAGTGTTCAACATGGTTTGGCATACTGGTCTTCTTCACAAATTGAAAAGTTATGGTGTCTCCAGACAAATTTTTGAACTGATTCAATCTTTCTTATCAAATCATGAAATTAAAGTTGTCCTGAACAGTCACTCTTCTAGATCTTTTGTACTAATGCAGGTGTCCCCCAGGGCTCCATCCTTGGTCCTATTTTGTTCTTAATTTTCATCAATGACCTTCCTGATGGCATCAGCTCTGAACTTGGTATCTATGCTGATAAAACAACCATTTACTCCTGTCTCAATAATAAGTCTGAGCAGAAAGATAAGGTTGAATTGGCAGCTGATCACAAAAATGACCTAAAGTCTGTTGTTAACTGAGCTAAAGGATGTCTTGTTAATTTTAGTTTTTAAATTTTCCAAGACAAAACTGTTCTCTATTAATCATCTGAGAGACCCCTTTCTGCCTTCTGATGTTAACCTCCAGGGAGTGACTTGTTACACCTTCTCAGGCTAACATGAAGATTATATTGAATTGATTACTAGGTCTGCTGCTAAAAAAGTTGGTTCACTGTGTTGTGCTAGATAATTTCTCTCGCTTGAATCTATCTTATATATCTAAAGTCTACCATTTACCCATACCTCAAATATTGCTGCCACATATGGTCTGATGCTCCTGCTATATATTTAGAGATTCTTGGTAAAATCCAAAGAACAATCAGCAATATTATTGGTCCTGACCTGGTCACTATGTCACTACCATAAATTTGCTTCCCTGTGCCTTTTCTGTAAATACTTTCATGGTAATTGTTTGGGTGAGCTCTCAATTTATAGTTGAATTGGCTTGATGTAAGTTCTATACTAACAGTTTCTTTTTTCGCACTTCTCACTTGTGGAACACTTTTCCAGCTTTCCAGTCAAGTTTGATCTTCAAAAATTTAAATGCAATGTCAATCATCATGTACTGTCTTGCTGATTACTCTTCTGTTATACTTACTCTTCAATAATGCTTGTTTTTTAATTCATTTCACACCCAATAAACCCTTGGGTCTTAGTGGCTTTACTATCTTGCATGGGGAGAATTCAGTAAAAAAATATTATAAATAAATTTATTTAAACTGATATGTTGCATCCTCAAATCTCAGATACTAGATAGTTCTCATACCATTGTCTATGCCAGAGGATATCTTGTATCAGTTAATTCTTTCTTGTAATGATGTATTTGCTATTTTCAATGAACCAGAATCTACCAATTTCACTGCATCATCCAGAGATTGAACTCATGGATTCCCAGATAACTACTTTTAGACAGACAAGATATATGTTATTGAGAAAGTTTTCTGAATCTGTCACAAGCTTATTAAGACCGTGTTTATTAATTTTGCACTTTTATGCCCTGTAAATGAATTTCTGACTCCCTTTTATTATGATACTCCCCTGCTTATTGCATATTGAGAAAATTCTGACACGGCTCTGATTATTAAGCCCACTCCTTGTATTAGGCACCTAAGAGTATATACATTTAACCAACATTTATAATTTCTAGACCATTGTTTCAGGTAGTGGAATTTTGGACCTATAAACTTAATTTCTTGGTTCTGGATTAAAGGATTTCTTCATTTCTATACTTTCAATGAGTTTATGCTGAGCAAGACTGATGAATCAATGGAATTAGTTAAGTATATGTAGTGAACATTGTGAGTTAAATCCATGAATTAAGTAGTGTAATACAACAATTCTAAGTAGAAGCATATAAAGCTTTGACTAATTCAGCTTTAGGGCTGAAAACGTTTATCATGGTGGATGGTTACAAGTGAGATGGGACATGGGATGTGCTTATTTTATTACCACATTCTCCTCTCAGTATTTCTTTTATGCACATGGAAGAAAATCATACAAATGACTGGGCATCTTGTAGGTCCTTTGGGATTCTTGGGATAGCTTGACCTTGTCAGGTCTTTCTTTTGTTTCTTCCTCAGGTTCTGAGTTTGGGTGCTTCAACCTGACACTCTTTCACCTACTTTAATGCTCTGGCTGTTCACCTTCTGAATTAGAAGAGTTGATAGTAGAGCAAGTCTATTTCTGAGGTACCAACCATTCATCAGAGCTAGAGTTGTACCATGAGGATCCTGGTGAGTATGACCGCACAGTAGCATGGTCCTGGTTTGCTAAAGCCATGATGGGAGGGAAGTAACTTTAGAGCTTTGTTGTGGGAAGGAGAGGAACCTTTCATGTGGAGTGGCCATACACAGCAACATTCTAATAGCATATAGAGCCTCAGAGAGGAGTCTTTCCCAGTGGTCCATTGAGACTACATGGTTGTGGCAGCCAACTGTATTGCTTTCCATATTTTGCTATTTTTCTCATTTTTTTATTTTACTTGCAGTTTTAGGGTTGAACATAAATGCAATCAATTTCTGGTTTGTAATTAGTTTGAAATGGCGAATGATTAGATAATGTTGCCACTTTCTAAGTGACTCGACAATAGTGTATGCCTCTTTTCAACTGCCAAGTGTTGCTGCTCAGACTGTGAGACAGTTCTTGATTGTCCAGATTGTCTTACTTAATGAGGCAGCTATGGCACAGTCTGACATGTCAGCCTACAGGATAGAAGGATCAATTGTTATGACAACTTCTGCAACGTTCCTTTTTAGATATTTTGAATTCTCTGCTGGTGTGAGGAGGCAAGGGGAATTTGGAAATTATTGTTAATTGATATACTTTTTCAGAGAATGAAAGTATCCAGTGTGCATAATGTGCAAACATTCCCAGTGCTCATCAAAGAGAGGGTAAATTACTTGGGATTGGGAAATTATGAAGTGGTCTTAGTCATTCTGGATCTGGCTTCATGTTATCTTTACTAACAATATATCTGAGTAATTACATTTTGCATAAAAAAACATTTATCATAATTTAAATGTTAAGTTATATTTTTCTACAGTTGCCATAAACTGCTTAAGATTCCTATCATGGTCAGGCTGGTCATGGCCACATATGGTTACATTATCTATATAGGCAAAGGTACCTTTTAATTTTTCTTTTAAGACAATTTTGTCTATCATTTTTTGAAAGCTGGCCAGACTGTCCATTACACCGAAAATTGGTACAGTCAACCTCCTACCTCAAATGCAATATAGGTTTTGTTAATTGGTTTTAATGTGACCTGGTAGTAAGCACTTTGAAGATCTAGAGTACTATATACACTTTATTTAGCAATATCTCCGATCATGTGGTAATGGATACACATCCAGCAAGGTGAATTTATTAATGGTCTGTGAATAGTCAATAACCATTCTATTTGTGGTTTTCTGAAGACATTACAAGGAGAGTGGTTTGGTTCTATTATCCCTTCTCTCAGCATTCTTTTAATCTCTGTATTAATGAAATGTTTGTCTTCATTCATATGCCATCTTGATTTTATGGTTCCTATGGTTTACAGTCAGGTGTTAAATTTGTGAAGAGTGCTGGGTAAAGCATGTTCACCCACATAATTTTAATAATGATTTGGTTCCACCAAATGGTATGTTGACATGAGAGTGTTGTTGAAGGAAATTGTGTTCCAGTATTGTACTACAGCAGAGATTCTTCATTATTAAGAATTTTATTTTATTGTATGTGTCCTCTTTTATTTTCAAGTCAACTAAACAGTAACCAGGCACAATAATACTGCATTAACCATTGCTACTCTGCTAAAGCATGGAAAACATTTTTGACTGGTTTTGATTTTCTGTGC